ATATATCGATGTCAGTAGCCAAGTGCGTACTGACACATGCTTACCAGCAACGCCTTTTCTGCCGCCTTTTCTGCTCTGAAGGAGAGTTCCTTGACAGTTTCGAAAACGGCGCGCAACGGTTGATACCTTCAGTTTCACTCAGTCCTGTGACGTCGCACTTGATCTTCCTAGCTTGCATCGTCAGATCTTCGGTACACGCTTTCAATGCAAGTATCCGTGTACTGAAAAAAACATATTGCTATCTCAGTCCTTCACCTGTTATGGTCCCAGAAACATTGCAGCTCATTCCGAGCGGCTCTACCCAACGCTGCCCTAATGAGAGCTCTCTCGGCTTCAGAAGAATGGAGCTCATTCATATTACTGTTCCTGGCATACGGGTGCCGAGTAGCTTACCAGCATTTAACGTTGTGGATAGGGAAACTCCGGATAGCTAGCGAGACCATTCCAGATAGGAAAGGATTTGCGAAAACCAATAGCGATCAATGGTGATGGAGTTATCCTTGCAACATCTCGAGCGCCGCAATCTGTAACAGTTTCGTTTGCTGATGCTTTGCTCGATTTACACGGCAAAGTGCATTGTTGCTAGGTCCATGGTGATTTTGATGAGCTCTATGAACCTTCATGCGGGTGGCTTCTGCGTCTAGTCTCGGTAAAGTCTCATCCCACACAATGCGACTTCAACATGAGGCGAACTCGTCCGGAACAGAGCGGTGATTTTAATCGAGTTAATACTGCGTTCTCAGTGGTAGCATTTAGGCGTCAGTTTCCTTTCGCACTGGGCATCTCAGAGTGACATCACCGAGTTCATTCATATCGTTACAGATATACTACCTCTTTTGCCCATTGCGTTGGTAAGTGTATCACACACGTGCTATTATTCCCATAGGTTTTGCAAGAAAAAAACCCTCTCAGTGGAGAAATTGCGCACAATACTGGATTGTGGGCAGCGCAGAAACGAATATTACAGCACGTTAGGCTTCAGAACTAGAAAAAAATGCATCGGGCGCAGGGCGAGGACATGGAGCTGGTGTTGGGAAGCTAAAGAGTAAGCATTGCATCACGTGCACTCATTTGGACCAGGGCCCATAGTTGAATCACTGTAATACCGATGTGCCATACTGAATTATCGTTTTGCCTGAATAGCGGTTTTGGAGCTGTTCACCTACCGTGTACTGGCTCTTCAGTCATGTTGGAGAACGCTAGCGCGTACAAGACAAAAACCTATTCGAAGAGATTACCCTCTAGCTCCTAAAAACAGCTATGGATCATGTAAAAAGGAACAACGTGGTCCCGTCATCGATAGTTTGGATAAAGTAGCGTTCTGTATCCCCTATATCAGTGATGGTGTAAGCTGTGAAATAAGGGCGGCGCTGTACAGGTGGGGCCTAAAGGACATGGTACGTGTGGTCGAGATCCCACCCGAAAATTTTAAGCAGCGGCTGGTTCGAAACCGCTGCTACGATCGAATTTGCCTTACCCCCAATTGCGTCATCTGCCCTAATGGACAGGAAGGTGACTGCATGACACCAGGCGTGATCTACCTGATCACATGCAATCTATGCGAGGAGGAATATATAGGGGAGACTGGGCGACCTCTGTGCGGTAGGGTCAAGGAACACCTGGACGGTTTAAATCGAGCAAGGGTGGAGACCCCTTTGGGTGCTCACCGAGTAGAGTCCCATAAAGGTGCTGAATTTGGAATTACAATTAGGATTCTTTTACGGGAACCTCATTTCGACGCGGAAAACACTTGAAGCGTTCTTCATCAACGCCAGGTCTCCAAAAATGAATAGGAAGGACGAGTGCCTAGCCGTAACTAGTGAACTCGCGCCTTTCTCTGACCTCTGTGGGTTTTATAGGGCTCCGGTATCACGGCGGGAGGGATAGGGCATATCATCTAAAGCTACCTCAAGTCCCTATGGGTCAATTTAGCGGCGGTCGTCTAAACGACCGGTTGTTGTTGGAGGTGGGTTAAATGTTTTAAGGGTTATCATGCCCATTTGGAAACATTAGGTCTAGAGAACCGGTTTTTGAAGTTAAGTTGTTGAATGAGGGATGGATAGCGATTATCTTTGAGTTTCCAACTCTGAAGAAGGCGATAACGCCGAAACGTAAGTTGATAAGAATTAATTTACCATTTCGGCAGCAGGTTTTATTAAAATCATATAAAATAAATGCAAAGCTATGCCAAGATTTATCGAGAGTCGAACATGGACGCTTATTTGAAGAGAGTTATGGATGCTTGGTCTTGACTTTGCCCAACTCGAAGCACGCTCCAACTGCTATAAAGCTCTGACCACCCTTGCATCAACATTTTCTAACCAATTCTCCCGGCTTCTAAGAGTTTTTGAGCAAATCTATGACCTTTTGTAGAAGGCACCTCCCATTTCACAAGGAAGATCTTTCAGGGCGTGGGACGCTTTTCAAAAATGGTTTCTCGCATGGTATAGGGGTGTGAGCACTGAGTATAGAACCATGGTCCATTTCCGCTTAATGACCTTCTGAATGCCAAAAAAAGAGCTAAAATGATTTCGTCAGAATTTGCTGTGTCGGCGAAAAAACTGTAGCCCGATCTGCCTGCTGTCTACAATCAATCAATACAATACAATCTACGAACTTTGCACGTGCGCCATCCTCAACAAGATCGGCTGAATATTATATGAAGGGCAGCTATGCGAGCAAGCAAGGTTTTGAAGAGGGTTTAGTGCAGATCACATCCATACTGACACAAAACTCGCGTGAGTACGGATGTCATTCACGTTCCTGACGTTTCCCAATTTTCATCATCTCAAATTTTTAGTCGACTTCG